ACCACGAATATACATTAAACTATAAAAATATTAGGAAAAAATAAGAACCATTTAAAAATAAAAAAAAAAAATTTTTTTTTTCCGTTAAAATATTGCACCGGAATCATTACTGGTCTTTATCGTAATGATTACTGTGAAATCCGTACTAGTTACTGGGAGAATGTTTACTGTAGTAGTGCGTAATGGTTACTGTAGTAAGAAAAACTAAAAGTTGAGAGTAAGCAAAAATACAGTAATTATTACTATTTTTCAGCTCTCAGTGTATATGTTACATGATACTCAAATAATCAAAAGAATACATTGCAGAAATACACAAACAAAAATTTACAGTTTAGTAACAATGAGTTTAAAGCTAGAATTACCGATGTTCTAGTTTGTACTGCAATTGTAATACTAATTGCCGAATGCTCTCAACCGAAATTAATTGGATGTTTGATTTTTGTCAAAGCGACAATTTTTCTAGAATTCATTGTAAAATTGTAAACGTTAAAATAATATTGCAGCTATATAACCGTATCGGGCTCCGATGAACAAAATTGCATTATAAATTTACTACGCATATATATATAAAATTCATCGATACATCTCTTATTTGTGTCATGACACCATTTTTATATATACTATTTTTGATTGCCTAGAATTGCGAGATAACTAACACGTTGAAATGTAATGTACAGTATTTTTAACGAAATTGTATATACACATATTTTTTTTAGAGAGAAAAGAAACAAGAATTATATTTTCTACTACTTTCTCTACTTTTAGTTGCATATTATTTAACATGTTACATATCTGTACCTTAGAAGTAAAAAATCGTATCTCCAGTTTTCGTCAAAATGGAGTTAATACATTTTTCAGTATAACAGGAGCTTAAATTGTATATAATGAGAAAGCGTCTTATGTCTATTATTACTAATTCCTAAGATACGGTGTTAAAAAAATGTATCAAAAATTTTTATAATGTCTAATTTTTAAACCTGGTATAACGTGTTATTGGCAGTTGTACTATTAAACGTGTCAGTTAAATTACTTTACTAAAAATTTAATAAATCAAGTTGCTACTGTCATTTAATATCTAAAAAAAATATATCGTTTCCCTATTTAAAACTTTAAACCTTAATTTCTCTGAATTTATAATAATGGAGATATGATTCTTTACCTCTAAGGTATTATACAGATACTTGTTTTTTTACGTTATCGCAAAACTTAACAAATTCTGTTTTTCTCTCAAATCAAGCTTGGACTCCGGACATTGTTCATCACGCGGGACTTATGCCGCAGAAGCTCGTCGTCTGTTCACGACGCGCTTACTTGGCTCGCGAAATTTTTCCGAATATTCCGCATGGAGCCGGGTCGTAAATAAAAGGGAATCGCGCAAGTTTCGCGTACCCGGCGGCAGCGGCGGACTGTTCGGGACCGCAATGTGAATTGCACACAGGATTTTGGCTGGTGTCTCCCCAACCCGGAGTCAGAGAAAAGCGTCGATTCGGCGTCGCGGTGCGCAGCGACCACCAAGTTCTCCCTCGTTTTCTCTCTCGCCTCCCATCTCCTTCTGTCTCTATCGATGCAAAAAGACGCCCTCGAGAAAACGAGATCACCTCGCCGACGAAGGCGGCGAAGATGCTAAACTCACCGGGAACTATTCGGCCGTCGAACTAATTTAACGCTCGGTTTAACAGGGACCGAGCCCGACCTGTCCTCGACTTGTTCCACTGCGATGCGAATCGTGGCCATAAAGGAGCCGTCGACTATCTCGATATGACTCTCGCTCTATCTCGTCGACGAACTTTCGGCGGAGATCGACATTATCGTCGATAGTTAAATACCTTCCGGTACGTTTTAGTTACGAGATCGCACGCCTCGTCTGCTTAATGAGAATTCACCGTAAATTTAACTTAGTGTTCTTCGTAAGTCTGGCAATTCTCGCGATGCGTTTCGGAAAAAAGTTTGGTACGGTTTTTCGGTTTGGAAGCTTTTTGGCCTGAGAGCCGGACTGAAGGCCGAACCGAGAGCGCGTTGGAGAAATTCCAGGGATCTTAATTAATGTACGCCCGGGTGCCAAATGGTATTTTTTTTCAGAGCGAGATTTTCGTGAGTCGCGTTAAATTAGATGTTACACATTCTTCTCGGTTGGCCGCATGTGTTAAATTATCTTGTTAACTGAAAATTAACGTAAAACCGACGGTAAAAGCTTGCTTTTATTGTATAATGTATCGAGGTGAATCAGTAAAGAGAAGGAATTAAACCTCTTATCCTTCGTAACTTCCTAAAAGCTATGAAATGGATTTTATAATAAATTTTTAAGTTTTCTCAGTTTAATAATCTCGCGAAGATCTTTCAACGACACAACAAAAGTAAATATTTTCGCGTGTTGGAACACTTTGGCGAAAGAGCCACGCGGCGAGAGCTGCTAAGCGTTGTAAAGTATCGGATGTTGGCGAATACTGGATATTAAATTCCATCCATCCGTTTAGCAAACAATCGTCTCGCAAACATTCTCGAATGTCCTCGCGGACTAATTTTTCCTTCGCGACAGAAACGCCGACTCTTAGAAGCAAGGTAAGCTTAAAAATTGCAGAGGGATATCGATATCACGTTCGCATGATCGACGGGGCGATATTAAGCGACGCCTTCTTTCATTTCGCGTGGCCTTAAAAATTTCAGTTTCTAAATGGTCCGCGATTCGCACAGCTGCACCCAGCTTTTTTTTAATGGACGTCACCGCCTCTCTCGCCTAAAAGGCTGCGCTTCTCTAAAATGCGGCGGCGAAGTGTTATAACTCTGACGTGTCTCTGGCACGAAGAGCAACGAAGGGAAGCGCGGGAAGCGGCGAGAGGTCGCGAAAAATACGGGGGCGGATAATGGCGGTGTAGGCGGCGATAGCAAAAAGAGACGGAAGGACGCTGAACCGCGAAAACACTAACACTGACTCGACAAAGCGGCGCTAAGGCTCTTTCGTCTCGGCTACGTCGATTTGCCACCAATTTCTCACCGGCAGCTTTTACGTGCCCGCAGAAAACGTATTTTCCACGAAAGATATAAAAAAGTATTATTTTTCTTGAACATTCAGTCTGTATTAACAATATATATACTCGTACATCTATCGTTAGCTTATCAATTTCGCTTCTCTTAATCAACAATACGTTCAACTTCTTATTTTATAAAATCGCAACGAGATAATTGGAGCGTCCTTAAGTATGCTTAGTGAAAGAGGATTCTATAGTGCAGGCGACACTTTGTGCGTCTTCTCGGAATTTTCTATAACAACTCGCGTCAGCGATACCCCTCAACTTCGCGAACGCACAAAGCGTTAATTTAACAGCGAGCGATGTCGATAGGAAGCGAACAATATGCTCGTCCGACGCTGCCTTCGCCATCTTATCGGCTTCAGCGCGTGCGGCCGAAATAGACAAGACGGTGCACTCTCATCATTAGCCTCCCATTGTTCCGTAGTTCTCCATCCGCGTTCGACCCATTTTATGCCTTATCAGTCAGCATCTCTATTGCGCGCTGCGCCGGGTGAAGTACGCCGCGCCGGCGAAACTGCCGAGTTCTCACGGCAAGATCGTCCGTACCGCTGATCGAAATTACCGCGAGTTTCCCGCGACGAGATCGTCAGACACCCTTTGTGCCGCTACGGTTTGAATAAACGCAGTACACCGCAATGACTTCGGCTGAATAATAAACAAAATAAGCGAAAACGAGTCACTCATGTCGTAAATTAATCAGAGCATTGCTCAAGCAAAACATTTAAACCTTGAACGTATTATATTTAATTTCAAAGTATAAATGGTGACTCAAAAGTCTGAATAAACTTTTTAATTTGAGAGAATTTATAAAGGTGAATTAAATGATGAAAAGTTGTAATGTTGAAAAGATATGGTTTCCACCAAATTTCCGGATGAAATGAGACTGTCGCATTAAAAACAATTTTTTTTCCTTAAAAGGAATATTTAATCAATTCGGACAAATTAGGCGATTTTCTCGAATCTGTTCGTACGTGACATCGCAGGTGCGGCCTGCCCGTTGTCCCTTCAAATACCGAGCATATTTCCGACGACGTCGGTGCACTTGGCTCAACGGGTCGGCAGAAATATCGTCGGCGAACATTTCGGCCATTAGCATTTCGGACACTCATGATTTATTCATGAAGAAAGCGCCACGTGTGAACCGGCGACTACCGGAGGCCGAAGGAGGAGGCCAAACCACCGGAGGTCGGCGGCGGCGTGCGGGAAATGTGCAACAATGCATCACGATTTCGCTATGTGCGGAAGGGGCAAAGCGTGAGAGAGCCGTGTATAAACGTGTTTAGTTAAGTAGATGCGTAAAACGTGGGATATATCCCGCGGGCCGAGCATGGACCCAAGAAATGCTACGGATAAACGGCCGCTCACGTACAGGGTGGATCACAATTATGCCGCCAGAACGTTTCGCCCCCGAACACGTGAAACGTAACGGGCATAAGGGATTAGCGAGATGTAAGAGATCACTCGGGGAATGTTTATGCATGGGCCGTGAGTGCGCGAAAGACGCGCATTTGCATTCTTTTAGGATTCTCGAGGGAAAAGTATTTGAAATATATTGAGCTTTATATATGAAAAAAAAATGATACTATAAAATATTAAATTTTGTGCATAAAAGATCTACTACTTATAATATATATATATATATATATATATATATATATATATATATATATATAATATATAAATATAAAATGTTATTTAAAAATGAATAAAGCTAAGCTGTATTGCTGTTCGAAAATAAGAAAGATAAGGTCAATACTACAACTTCGTTTAATCGGCAACGCTTATTGGTATATTTCTGAAATTGCTAATACCATTAGACTGTGTTAATTACTGCTTCATAAATTAATGCTTCATTATTATTCAGACAGCTTTCTACGTGCTTATCGTTAGCTCCGAATTTTCCTTTCCTCAACTTTCCCGGACTTTCACTCGATGAGATACGGGCTGACGGACTTACGGACGAGGACTTACCGGTAACCACGAGCCTGGCGTACGAGGAACTTTCCACGGTGTCACCGGTGACGTGATGCACCGTGCGGCACCGGTAGGTCGAGTGAGCATCGGCGGGTGTCACCGAGAAGATGAGCAGTTCTCCGGTGGGCAGCATGTGGTGCTTCTCGCCTGCAAGCCGAAACAGCAACAATGTCAGCGATATCGCTCGGGAGAACGCGGAACGTTTTGCAGCGCTCGCCTATAATTTCGGCAATGTATTTAAAGCGAAAAATTTCTCTTCGTGAAAATTTAAACGAAAATAGCAATCAGCAGTAAGCGGAACAAGATAATCATATTTCACTCGATTTTATAAAAAAAACATCAAATTAGATAAATAAGAAAAAATTATCGCACAATTGATTTTACTATAAATTAAAGCTCTACATTTTGTATAAATTAATTAAATTGATATATTGTATTAGATTAATTCTATAGAGTATTATGTATATATATGTATAACGTTAAAGAGGCGGGTCTTTGCGAATTCAGAGGGAAAATTATTTTCAAATTCATCTCGACCTGCTTTCCCCTAAAAGCGCGACGTGAACTCCACGAAACGCTCAGTGTGACGCATTTTTCATCGACTCGACTTTCTCATTCTCTCTGCCGCCATTCATGCCTGCCGTCTCCGTTGGGCTTCCATTAATATGGAAATTTCTTTAATGGAAAAGCGCACGGGCGAATCTCGCGCGCGGAAGCGGCTGGCTATAAAAATTGCGTCGCGAGAAACAATAGTATACCTAGCTCCAGAGAGAAAATGATTCGCGACTAGACTCCTCTGGTAATAAAGGGGCCGCCTCCGCGTTTAAGCGATCCCGTGTGTGTGAAACGAACGATCAGCAGCAGAACCACGCTCGACGCGCTGCTGGAACGCAAAAAAAGACAAAGTATATCGGCGCGAGTGAGAATCGATACTCGTAAAAATTCGAGCGTAACCGCTGGATGGCGAGAGCGTGCCCGCTAGCGCACTCGGTGGCTTAAAACGGTGGATGCCTTGCTAAAAAAAAAAAGATTAACGCCTCTCGAGTGAATTCCGCTGACGATCGTTGTTGCACGCGCTCGTGCCTCCCATCGTATCCCCGAGGATGAAGCTTCGAAAAAAAATTATTTAAAGAGATTTTAAATAGGGGCACTCTGATCTCCCTCTCTCTTTCTCTCTACACTGTTAAATATAAAAGATAAAATTTAAACCCAATACCATGAGTTAAATGACATTTTGTTATTTTTAACTACCACGTGTGTCGATTAGTTTGATTTCATTGGTTTAGATAAGTTAATATTTGTTAAATTAACGATAGGGTAACTCGGGGGAATATGCCATACTTAAGAAAAATATGATTTTTTTTCCTATTTATCTTTCTTTTTTAGGTATCTTTTTAGGTATTTGCATACTGGTCCCCATGTGGGGATAATATGCCACATATACAAATATGTATATTAATTTAACTTTAGAAGAGCATTCTTGTCTAAAAACATGTAAAAAAAATATTTTTATTACAATTTCAATAAAACACTAAGAAAATTCTAAAAAGCACGTTGTCATACTTGTCATACTGTACTTACCCCATAAAAACTATAATACTGACAGGAAGTAAGTAAAACTTGGGCAAAACGTCAGATATAATATTTTTTATAAATTTCACATTATTTACAACAACGCTCCTAGCTGTAGCTTTGTTAAACATAACGAGTGGCATATTCCCCACACTGACATATTCCCTCCAGTTACCCTATATTGAGTAAGAGCAGAGCGACTTATGAGAATAGTTAAAAATGACTCAAATTGAGTAAAATTGTATACTATCTTAACAGTGTATTAAGTGTATAATTAACAGCGTTGCCATCTCCTATTGAAATTATGAAGAAACTTGTTCACGAATTTACATTTATTAATAATTTTGTCGTAAATATGATAAGTTGTCATGCTATTAACACAGATTGTAAGAAGCAGATTAATCTCTTATATTACTGTATTAATGAACATGTCAATAATAAATTGATAATTAACGC